CAAGCTTATCTCCTCATACAATTAAAGTGCACTGTTAAGGATATGAAATATCTAAATAAATCTGCCCACACTTAATGTTGGTCATATTTTAAAGGTGACTTTTTTTCTGAATGATAAGTAATCAGAGAAGCCTCAATTCTGTTTATTTGTGTTTATAATATTCATCATATATATATAATCAGGAATTAAGCACTTATCTACTAATCAAAAGGTTAATGGTTTGAGTCCATCAGTTGCTCTTGAGAGAAAAAGGTGGGGCAGTCTGCTCATAGAGTCAATACAAGTCTGAATCAACTCAAAAGAAAAGCATTTTTCTATATAGAAATAGAAATATATTCTATAATATATAGTATACATACTATATATGAGCACTATATATGCATATTATGATATGTATGTACGTGTGTATATTACTCATCCAGTTAGAATAAACCAAATCTAGCTACTTCAAATTCTCTAAACTATACTGTTTTGATATTCCATGTGTTCAGCATTTTAATAACTTTGTTTAATGTGTTTTAGATGAATCACTGCTTAGAAATTATACTTGTTCTTACTACTGATAAATCTGTTTTAATTAACCATTTTCACATTACAATAATGAATTGCCTTTCTAATATCATGAAACTGATGACAATAACATTGTGAAACCATATACTAATATATGCCATGCCTTGGAAAAAAATCATTAATTATGAAACTGTTAAAGTGCTACATGATTTATATCAGATTTCTCTGAATATTGAACATTTTCTAAAGCACAAAATTTTTCTCATCTAAATGCACATTTGTATTTTTACATTTTATGAACACTTTGATTAATGTTTCACCAAAAAGGAAGTTCATTATATGTTATAATTCCTTTGACAACTTTGAGTTATTCTCTTAACATGTTATTATTATTTTCCCTTAGGGTATTAAAGATTATAATATTCTTACAAGGATCACTCAGCTAGGAATAATTATTTCACTGATTTGCCTTGCCATGTGCATTTTCACCTTCTGGTTCTTCAGCGAAATTCAAAGCACCAGGACAACAATTCATAAAAATCTGTGTTGTAGCCTATTCCTTGCTGAACTTGTCTTTCTTGTTGGGATCAATACAAATACCAATAAGGTAAGTAGATCTTTCTTCTCTCTCTTTGTTATCTAAATCTGTATTTTCCTAATTACACATTTCATGGGCATATGGCCTTACCCAGTCAAACTTACTCTATAGTTTGTTGTAAAACTGCCCTTTCTTAATCTGATAAGGCTAATATAGCTAAGCAACCTACTTCATAAGCATTCCCACAAAGCACTGAGATAAATTAAAACTTTTCAGCCAACTGAAGAAGTGTCTTTTTCATTTGTTGTGTTTTTCAATGGGAAACAAGCACAGGAGGAAGAAATACAGGGAATGTTGCCTTGTTTTAGGAATAAACTTTTAAGCAACAAGGGAAAATAGGTAAAAGTATGATGAATGACTCTTCCTATTACGTACACTTTTCTAATTTGCTATTTCCCTCTATTATTGACCTAGCCCTTTGCCAAGTAGTCTTTCCAAGAAGCAGACCCCAGGCATGAATAAATACACAATCACTGTATTAGAGCACATGCGTGTGAGAACAAAGGCGAAGGGAGAAGCTGAGAGATCTGTGAGACCAGAGTTGCGGAGGCGTCTGCTCAGCACGCAGCTCTAAAGAGTGTTCAGCTGCGTTGTCAGAGTATTTGGGGGGTTCTTGAGGCAAAGATACCTCTCTGAGCAATCTCATGTCAGTCAGATA